AAAAACAGAAAAGAAAAGAAACATAGCTTGAAAGAGCCAGAAGACATTTCTACCCTGCAATTTTCAGAGATCCTAATTTGAATATCATGTCCAATTTTAATCACCACACTTGACAATGGAGAAATAGACACCAGAAAAGTTTGGGAAGACAGTAAGAAAATGATATAAGAATGAAGAATGTAATATGAGAAATATTTTAAAATGTAGGATGTTTAATGCACAAAAGCGATGGTAAGGTGCAATTTCATAAGGACTGTTAAGTATTCAACAAACATTTACTGTGTGCCTATTGTGCACAGAGAGCAGGGCAGAGGCCACCCAGCAAGACTCTGGGAACAAAGGCAGCATTACAATACATGGTGATGTGTCACCACAGAGGCATGCTAAACATGGGAATACGGAGAGGAAGAACTTAAGTTGGCCTAGAGAAGTCGTCAAAGAAGGAGGTGATGGAAGGTGCTGCCAAACAACAAGTGTCCCATAAGCAATAGTTATTATAATTAGTCTGGCTGAAGCACAAGACGAACTACAGCAACAGGGGAGGAGCTGAGGCTGAAGGTTTATTTGATGTCAGAGGATGATGTCCCTAAAAATTGATGCTAAGTAAGGTATCAGGACTTAATCATAAGGTAAATGGAGACTATCAAATATTTTTAAGCAGTTGATAATTCCTAATAGAGGAACTAATCATAGTAGTCAGGAGGACTATAAGAATACAAAGGATCAGAGATAGGAAGAACAGGGAGACTACTGCAACAATTAAACAAAGGAACAGAGCTTGAATTAATGTAGTAAGAACAAGAATGCAGGGCTGGGCATAGTGGCTCATGCCTGTAATGCCAGTGCTTCAGGAGGCTGAGGTGAGAGGATTGCTTGAAGCCAGGAGTTTGAGACTAGCCTGAGCAACAGAGCGAGACCCCATCTCTACAAAAAATAATAAAAATAAGCCAGGTCTGGTGGCATGCACCTGTAATCTTAGCTACTTGGAGGGCTGAGGCAGGAGGATTGCATGAGCCTAGAAGTCCAAGGCTGCAATGAGCTATGATCACGCCACCACACTCATACTCTGGGCAACAGATCCTGTCTTTACTGGAAAAAACAAAATAAAACAATGAGAGAGCAGAGAATGGACTTAAGAGGGTTTTTAGGCTTACAGTCCATAGGGTTTGGATTAAGGAATAAGTTTAAGAGTTGAAGATGATCTTGTGGTTTCAAGCTTGGGAAACTGAATACATGTGATGCCATGAAACTAAATGAAAAAAAGTAGTAGGTTTGAGATAGGGATGTGGGTATTTGTTGGAAGAGACAAACAGTGTGGTTTTAGTAATGGTAAATATGACAGGCTCAAACACATTCAACTGAGGATGTCCTTATGGCATAGGTCTGGCCACTAGAACCAGACAAAAGGGTGAAGTGGTTAGACAGGTAGAAGAACCAAGAAAGACAGGTGCTGCAGAAATCAAGAAAAATGAATTTCAAGGAGGGGCTGATCAGTGATGGCAAATATGCAGGAAGATACTAAGTATAATAAGGACTGAACAGAGATATAACTGGTCTTAGAAGTTAACAGGACTGCCGGGCGCAGTGGCTCGTGCCTGTAATCCCAGAACTTTGGGAAGCCGAGGCAGGTGGATCACCAGAGGTTGGGAGTTCGAGACCAGACTGGCTAACATGGTGAAACCCCATCTCTACTAGATATACAAAATTAGTGGAGCGTGGTGGCATGCCCCTGTAATGCAAGCTACTTGGGAGGCTGAGGCAGGAGAATTGCTTGAACTCGGGAGGTGGAGGTTGCAGTGAGCCAGGATGGCGCCACTGCACTCCAGCCTGGGCAACTGAGTGAGACTTGGTCTCCAAA